TACGTTATGAACATCTACGAGCGGGCGCACAACTGTCCGATTGTCGATTGTTTCGCAGCCAATTCAACTGTTTAGTTGCACAACTAAAAATCGAGTAGTGTGTATATATAATTAATTAAGAGCAATATTAACACGAGTTTTTTTATATTTTCCAGGTAAAAATATGGTTTCAAAATCGAAGAACGAAATGGAAAAAGAAAGACAACGTTACAAACGCAGAGGTAGCAGAAATGAAGCAGCAGAACAAGCCCAGCGGAGAAGATAAGAAGACGGAAGATGTCAAAGAAGATCCTCTAGCGTTGGACATGTCTAAGAAGAATTGTAATAAAATATTAAGCGAGAAATTAAGAAGTACAAAGCATTTAGTGCAGACTGTTATACCCAAACCTAGGAGGGTTGAAAAGGGGGTAGTTTTAGAAAGCATATGTGACGCGAATGACATAGAGAGTAGAATTTCCATAACAAAAATAACCAATAAATTATCAAGTACTGAGCTGGTGGGAGAAAACAAAGTGTCCGTTAAGAGTTTTAGCCCGGAAGAAGTAAAAGACTTGAAGTTCGATAGTCTGAGTAGAGACGTCGAAATGTGAGGGCTTTAGGAATAACGTGGGCCCGTTGTGATATCGAAAATATTTTTGCTATTTATTACTGTTACATGAAACTTACTGAAGTAAACTGAATTCTAGAAAAATTTCACATATTACTTGTTTTAAAGACAAATGTATACAGAAGCTTGTATAGATTTCTAGTGAATTCTAAAAATTTAGTACTTTTCATTATGATATTTCAAAGGGCCCATTAGTAAATGTAAATCGGACAAAACAAGTTAAGATATAGGAGTCACCGTCCGTCCGACGCGAGGCCACGTTCTCACCAACTTTCATTGCGCTATCAATAAAAATCAATATATTTACAAATTACATGAGATTTCTTTGCTATCGTGTGTACTAACATTTTCGTTTGTTTGTAAAATGTATTTATTTGTACGATTGTTAGTTTTAAAATTTATAGATACTAGCTGTTGCTCGCGACTTCGCCAACGTGAAATAAAAAAATATAACCTATGTTACTCACAGATGAATTACCTTTCCAACGGTGAAAGAATTACGGTACGGTAAAACAATTGTTACTTGATACACTTATCGTCTCGTCTGAGGAAGAGAGTAACTTCTCACAAAAAGGTCTCATAAGACATAATTATTTTCGTTATAATAGTCGAAATATTTTCTCTGCCGTTCCAGAATATAATCTATTTCTTTCTCATTTCTTTTCTAATTTAGGTTTATTTTTAAATACTCGTTATAGTTGTTACCATTTTTATTTTCTGTTTCTACTAAAAGCTTGAAATTCAATTAAATTTTGAATGATCTCTAAAAATAAATGCAAAAAATTGCTTTCATCTTTAAAACAATAATTTATGTTGGACAATGTATGTTCAAATTTTGTTATAAATGAACACAAACCCTTAGATTACAAAGTCTAGGAGCCGGGGCACACCTTTGACTAAACTATCGCACAACAGTTGTGTGATCGTCGAATGTTGCAACTGTTTAGTTGTACAACTAAAAATCGAGTAGTGTAACCTACATGTAAGCATAGCAATTAAAGTGCAACTAAACAGTTGTGCGCTAGTTCAGTCAATAGTGTGCGCGCTCTAAGGAATGATGCGAGTTTTTTGTTTGATAATTGCCTTCAATGCGTTTAACACAATAAGTACAATGAATTAAATAATTTGAATGTTTGTAAAAAACAGTTTTTTATAGAAGCTTTCTTAACATTCTGACTTTTATGTTTTGTGCAATAATAATATATTTAGTTTAAGTACTTACTGCAAATATAAAATATCGTTTGCTCTCTGTTTATGTAAAATACCAATTAATTAGAATAATTTAAGCGCCAACAAGTATACGAATTACTTTAGTGTAGTTAAGTTTGTTGGGAAACGTACTACTGTTCTCTTGTACAATTTGAATCAAACTACTTTTATGAAATCACCAACAGATGGCGTTGTTATACATATGGCTGTCAAAAACTGTAATGTAATACTTTACAGGTGGGATGTGTTATTTTCCCGCGTAAATAATTTTGATCTCATTTCAATAATGAAGCAACTTTTCTAATATCCTGATTATTTCTATAGCTTAATTTAAACTCAACGCATCATTATGTGTTCAAAACAAACAAATGTATACGACTCAATAACATTTACATTAGTGACTTATTCAAATAAATAGTCTGAACAAGGAATAAAACTGAACAAAATTTATATAGTTGTACAAAATAATTTTGTATGCTATAAGAACTCCTACACACGAAGCAAAGTCTTTTGTATTCGTGTGAATGTTGTCTTATAAACGTTTTGGAGATTTTTTAGCGTAAGACGTCACCTCAACTAGCGGAATACATTTCGTCGGGACGCGGTTAAGTTTGTTTGCGCACATGTTTGTCTGTCTGCTTCCTATAGCTGTAAGTCCAAATTGTACATTTGTCTATTAGCTCGAAACAAATATAGTTTTAGACGTTTTCGGGAGCGTATCGATACTGAAGTAGTGTTAGTCTTATAGATTAACGGAATGAAAAATAAATAGTTTTCCACAATTCATTTGTTTTATTAAACAGAATTAGTGTGATAAAAAGACGAGTTGATGCCAACCACATTATTCTCTTAAAATAATGTGCCGTAAGTACTTACCTTTAAAAGCAATTGATAAAATTTTAAAGAAAAAAATATTGCACTTGCTGATCTTTGTTTAAAAATTCTTACCTGCATGGTGACGACCGGACGCCTCGAAAAGTTAGTATAATAGTTTCAAATTATTTCTGTAGATGGGGTAATTTTAAAGATGCGTTGCGTTCCTGCCACCTCTGAAATATTAGTAAATTTAAGTTTGAATAAATTAATTCTAAACAGCGCCATCTATTTTACTATTGTCTAACTAGGTGTCCAATTGAAAAAATGATTAAGTAGCTATGTTCATAGATGGCGTTGATTAACGTCTTGCTTGTCTTGTGGCATGAGTCAAAGAAAGTGTGATTTATGAAACTAGATGGCGCTAATTACCATTGGTTGATAAAATGAAATCGAATTCAAAACTTCATTACGTTTTCGAGAAGTCTAGATGTGTCTAATATCAATTTTAAAAGTTAAAAAAATTTAAAACCTGCAAAATTAAAATGTAACTTTTATTTAACTTTTTTTTTAAACGCGTGATTAGGGCAACGGATCGTCTAATAATAATTTATCTAACGCCTATGGACATATAAAACACCAGAGGAAATAAAGTTGCATAACCTTCAAGAGTAGATGCACTTCTACGCTTTTCCTTGAAGGACCCCAAGTCTTAACTGTTTACGTTCCTCCTTTTAAAAGGATCGGGTACATTTCATCCATAAATAAATGCCAAGAATAACAATGAATGTCTCAAACGTTTAAGGCAGTTGCATCAATTAGCACAATAATTTCGTCCGAGAGGAACGCTTCGCTGGCAGCTTGTTACCGGGGATTATCTTCAGCACGCCTGTTGCCCGGCGAGGAGGGCAAGAGGGGAGGGGCATTTGTCCCGGGTCTCTAGGATAACAAAACTGTTCCGTACTCGTACTTCATGCTGATTTTAATTTTGTTTCGTCACGACTTTATTTTGCGACTGTGTCTTTTAAAACTACTTATCAATATAATGTAGTTGTAAAATGTGGTAAGTATGCATTATTGGTTAATGGTTTTAATTCTAGGTTAAAGGTTGTAAGTGTATTGTTAAGAAAGATATTCATGACGACAAGTCAGTGATCTTTGTAAATAGCAGATAGATCAATCTACAATAAAATTTTTAGCAGGGAACATGCTATGTAAAATAATCAAGTCGTATTTGTGTTTCAAACAAGAATCTTACATCAAAGATCTGTGCATTTTTTCGCCTCACTTTATGTCGGCGTCAAATCCTTGTTAACAGGGGCGCTGTAAACGGATGGCTCATTTTATGTTATCAAAATTTTCCACCTCGTGTGAATCCCTCCCACTTGTGACAACGAGGGTGACCATCATTACACATTTGTTATTTGTGCTCACATATTTTGATTTAATGAAACTATGTATAATATTTTTAAATGTAGAATTGTAGAAACCATTTGTTCGAGCGTATTTAGTTAAGTCATCCATTTTTGACCTAACAAGACTTGTTCGATTATGTTGCCTAAGAATGATCTGATTTATTCACGTTTTAATGGAGTAAAAAAAACTTAAACTTTTCGACTAACGGAAAGTTGACAATATTTTTAGGACAAGTAAATAGAGTGCTTTTTTTGAAAATTGCCTTTTTTGACTTAATAGTTCATTGGTCCTTGTTCTTGATGTAACAATTGTGGTCACCGCGCGCGGTGCGACTTGATGACTGATCGCCGCGATTAC